GAACATTTGTCCATGCACAGGGCACTGTTCTGAGGGTTAAGGATATAAAGAAGCTTAAGCATGATCTCTATTTCCAGGTGTGTGTGTAGGTAAATTAAATGATAAATAATGTTAATGCAAAAGAGGTATCAAAAAGAGGCATAAGTAAAAATAAATCAGTGTAGGTGCCCAAAATATTCAATTTCTTTGAGGTTATCACTGAGGTACAGCATACCGGCGATTAGTGAGGACAAGACAGGGATTATAAAACCAGAGTTAAGAAATAAACTCAGAGTACCTACATGCCTGGCAGCATAATGAAATACTAAATCATTACCAAAAACGCTCCTCTAATTGAAAACTTCCATACAAAAGGAACAAAAACAAATGGTGGCTAAACATGACAGTAAGCAAGTTCATTGTGCTAAAAAAAGAAAGGACACTTTCAAAGAATAAGGGAGATGTGTCAAAATGATACAGATGGTTCCAACTGGCAAAATCTAGGATATTTTGAGCATTAAAATAATTACTGAATGGCATAACCCACTGAATATAAGAGCAATTAAAGCAAATTATACATGTAAGTAAAAGTAGTGATGCAAAGTTTGATGAGTAATGGAATGTTTGCATAGTTTAAAATTAATTCTTTACCTGCTGTCCACCCAGGGCACCACATGAAGGCAACAGACTAAAATGCCCATCTCTGCCTGTTCATGAAAGAGGCATAATTATATACTTTAAGTGCTGCCACCTGAGCGTCCAGCTCCCAATCAGCCACATAAACAAAATGAAGGATAGAAATTATATAATCCATCTCAATAGATGCAGAAAAATAACTTGAAAAATTCAACATCCATCATAACAAAAACTCTCAACAGAGTGGAACATACCTCAATATAATAAAAACCACATATGACTAGCCCACAGCTAGTATCACAATCAATGGTGAAAAGCTCAAAGTTTTTCCTGTGAGATCAGGAACAAGACAAGGATTCCCACACTTGCCTCTTTTATTAAACATGGTTCTGGAAGTGCCAGCCAGAGCAATTAGGCAAGATAAAGAAATTAAAGGGATCCAAGTTGGAAAGGAAGAAGTAAAACTCTATTTAAAGATGACATGCTATTATACATAGGAAACTCTAAAGACTCCACTAGAACACTGTTAGAACTAATAAATTCAGTAAAGTTATGGGATACAAAATCAAGCATACCAAAATCAGGTTCACTTCTATAAACTAACAATGAACTATCAAGAAGAGAAATTTTAAAAACACCAATCCCATTTGCAATTGCATTGAAAATTAATAAAATACTTAAGAAAATGAAACCAAGGAGGTGAAAGATCTGTGCAAGGAAGACTGTAAGACACTGATGAAAGAAACTGAAGAGGAAATGAATGGAAACATACTCCATGCTCATGAACTGGGAAGAATCACTGTATTTTTTGGACTATAAGATGCGCCCCCCCGCCCCAATTTGGGAGGAATAATGGTTGTTAATGCTGCTGCTGAGTTCTGTTTACAATTACATTGGTGAAATATTATGTTATTTATGTTATTAAATATTTTACCACATTTTTTGCTTCAAAATTTTTTTCCTATTTTCCCCTAAAACCTAGGTGTGTCTTATGGTCCAAAAAATACAGTGATGTTGGTAGAATATTTAAACTACCCAAATCAATCCACAGATTCAACATAATCCTATGGACATTTTTCACAGAAATAGAACAATCCTAAAATTCACATGGAACCACAAAAGACACTGAAAAAAGAACAAAGTTAGAAGCATCACAACACCTAATTTCAAACTATATCACAAAGATACAATAATCAAAATAGCATAGTGTTGACATAAAAACAGACGCTAGAAATAGAGCAAAATGATAAAAATATAAATTTTAGGGTACTATTTAATTTATGGTATTATTAATAAATAATACAGCTATCTCTAATTCTCTCATACATTATTTTAGAGTTCCTAGCCAAGGCAATATGAGAAGTAAAACCGAAAAAAAGTAAAAGAAAGTCATGATTTTCAGAAAATACATTCCACTTACAAAATCCAAAAAAATTACTAAAGAAACTATTTGATTTTACAGTGGAGTCTAGCAAAGCAAGAAGATAAAAATATGTTACAAAACAATCAATACTTTTGTCATACCACAGTAATAACTAAGTTGAAAAAATAATAATTCCTAGATGTAAAATTTCTATATTATAAATACATTATTTCTAACTATTAAAATGCAATTTCAATGTAATCCAAATAAAAAACTCCAGAAGATTCTCTGCATAACTCAGTAAGATTACCCTAAACTGCATCAATGAAAAATGCCCAAGAATAGCTAGGAAAGTTTTTAAAAATGAACACTGAATCATGTTATAAAGCTAATGTAAATAGAACAGCATAATATTGTTGAAAAGTATTGTTTTACTTTCTGTTGGAGAAATTTCCAATAATTAACACTTTGCAAATCTTGTTTATTAACCTATCCCTTAGTTTGGTTGTGCCAGAATACTCAAAGGCAGATCAGAGATGCCATACTGCTTCACTTCAGTATGACTTCAGGATATATGCCGAACAGACAAAGATTTTTAAAAAACAAACCACAACTGCAGACCCAGCAAAATTAACTAGTTATCACATAATACCCAGTTCAAGGTCTATTTTTCTCCAACTGTTTTAAAAATATTACATTTTGCTTAAATCAATCTCCAAAGTTCACACACTGCATTTAAGTCATGTTTCCTAAGACTCTTGCAATCAATACAGCCAATGAACGTACATGCATGACCCACAGATACAGAAAACAGTGTGGGGATGGCCAGCAAGGGGTGAGGACAGGGGGCCAGCGAGCAAAGGAAAGGAAAACAGGGACATCTGTAATAATGTAAACAATAAAAAATAAAATTAAATAAATATAATTATAAGATAATTTTCTTTATATTTCAATACAATAAAACACCTCTAAATGCTTTTTGGTAAAAAAGTCTATTTTCCTGTATCATTTATTTGTTCTTTTATTTAACAAACACTCTCCTACTTCTAGATTATTTTTAAAACAAATTCTACACATCCATAAATGCATTTGTATGCATCGCAAGAAAACAAACACACTAAATTATTTAATAGTATCTAATAAGGTAAATGTTCAAATCTCCTCATTTGTATGAAAAATATATTTTTATACTTAATTTGTATGAAACAGGATTCAAATAAGGTCCACGTTAGTACTTAGTGATAAGTACTTAGTATTAGTACTAAGTATTAATAGTACTTGGTATTAGAACTATTAAATACTAAACACTTAGTACTAATTAGTGCTTAGATAATAGTCTCTACAAGTACTTTTAAGCCCTGCCACACAACCACTTTTATTTCCCATTACTGCTATTTGTTGTAAAAACCAGGGGACACTTGTAATGAGAACTTCCCACATTTTAGAATTGGTGTTATTTAACTTGTTCCTCAATCTCTGTACTTTGTTTAAAGCACTAATTATATCCAGGGGCTGAATTAGACTGAGGTTTAATTTAGAGGGCAGGGTAGAAATATTTTCAATGATGATGATGTCACATATATCCCATTATATCACATCGCACTGGGGAAGCTCATGATAACTAATGCTTTACTTTGGTGATGTTAAGACTCATCTGCTGACACCAAACACAGATCATTATTGCCTAGGTCCACTGTTTCATCAGGGGTAGCAACACAGTGATTCTTGAAAATTCTGTTTTTTTCAAACGAGGTATAACTGACATGCAACATTATATTTATTTCAGGTATAAAACATAATGTTTCAATATATATACATATTACAAAACGATAACCAGAATAAGTCTAAATTCTAACATTTTAAAACTGGAATTCTTTGATAAAATAGAACATTCCCTCATCAACTATTTTGATATCTCATGAAATTGATACAAGAAAGGTAAATGCTCCATACTTTCCCTTCAATTATCAATTTTCATGCTTAATAAACAAGCAACCTATAGTAATAGCCAATGGTTCCTCTGAAATATCATTAGGAACCCTTCATGTGTTTCTATATATTTCAGATGTTTCATTCTATTATACAAGTTTTTCATGGGAATTTATGACAAAAAAGCATCTTGGACTATTGGGAAAAGACAGGCTGGTCAATAAACTGTGTTGGGTCCATGAGCCCTCAGAATAAAGGACATACAGAAGTACACTAGTAAATGCACAGCCACAGGCTCTATGAAACAAAAGCATATTTGGGATTTTAGGCTATTAAAATGACATCTCAATATCTACCAAAAATATTAAGAATATTAAATACATGCAAAGCACATAGCAAATACTTGATAAATTATATGCATGGATGTGTGTACACATGTATGCATGCTTTCATGCATGTATGCACAGTGATGTTCTGTTACATGTCAAAAACTGGCTCCCTAATAAAAAATATTTCTTCTGACCTGCAGTGTTTGCTGCCTTCCACTATGTAAACACTCCTCCAGTGGACAATTTCACGCCATTGTAATGTCACTACATCCCGAATTAGGGACAAAAGTGCATAACTGAGTCTCACTAGCTGTTGTGAACTGGCTCCAGTATATCACTGAATAATATCCATATAGTCTATATACTACAAAACTTGTGGTTTTGTGTACATGTGAACATGTATGTGTTTACATGCATATGTCTGTACATGTATATGTGTATGCTTGTATAGAGAATCAAAATACCTAGAAAAAGATCTGGAGAAATGGGTAACAACTGGATGACAGGTTTCCTCTGCAGCAAGCAATGGTATTAGGGTAGGAGGAGAAAGATCAAAGGAACTTTTGTCTTAACAGTCACTGAACTGTTCACCTGTTACTTATGCATTGGGTCAAGATGCAATAAAATTTTTTTGTAATTTTCTGACCCATTCTATCACCAAGTATGTTCTCACTAACATTAAGTTCCAATATGATATAAACAACCAGCTATGTCAGATGTCATATTACACAAAGAAAATACCTTCTGAAAAATATGCAACTTACTTTGGCTTCAGTTTCTCCCCTGTGAAGAGTATAAAGATGATGGACAGCACTTTGTGATGAGGACCAAGGATGAGTCAGAATTTGAAAGACGTGAAAGTCGTGGCCAAGGGTGTCTGTTGTAACTAGGAGCATTCCTGAAGGATATACAAAAAAAAGGGGGTAAAAATAAAAACAGTTATGTATGTGGATGATATATATTCACAAAGTACTCATCATGCTTTAAAAAATTATCAAGAAAAAATTACCAAAGATATAAGAAAATATTCACAATAAAAAAATTAAAACAGTATCTTTGTCTTATGTGAATAACAAACCTTAGTACTACATCAGGATAATACAAGAGTAAGAATCTTAGATTCATGATGTTACCCTACAACTAGAAGAAAAAAGGTTTATATACCTGAATTTATAGAGTTCACAAGCATCTGACAATAGCAAGTTTGATCAAATGAATATGAAAATGACTTATTTCCATGTCATCAATTCCCACCATTTTCCATTTCTCAAAACCTGAATTTTAAGTTCCAATTTACCTATGAAGACAACTACCAATATCCTACTTCACCAGCTTATGGCGAGCCTCTACCCCAGCAGGATGTTTATTGAACTGCCTGCAGTAGTGTTCACAGAGCCAGGATTTTCATTCTGATGAGATGTTAACAGCTAAGAATTCTTAGCATGATCCAAAGTCACAGAATTTTTCTATGTTTTCTTATCAAAATTCCATAGTTTTTATTTTACATTTAGGTCTATCATCCATTTTGAGTTAATTTTTGCATAAACTGTGAGATAGACAACAAATTAATTTTTTTGTAAATGATGTCTAATTGTTGCAGCAGGATTTTTTGAAGAAACTATTCTCTTTAACCATTGAATTCTTCATCCTTCAATTGTTATCCATTGTCAACTCGGCAAAGATCAATTTGCCATATATGCATAGGTCTCCTCCTAAAACGACAATTCTAGCGGATCGATTTCTGTCTTTATACTTTCCTTAATAACACACTTTCTTGATTACTGTAACTATATAGAAAATCTTGAATATAGGAAATCCTGAAATCAGACAAAGTGAGTCATCCTTTTCTGACCTTTCCCAATATTATTTTAGCTATTTCAATTCCTTTGCCCTTCCAAACACAGAATAAACTTTTTGATATCTACTGAAAAAAATTTCTAGGATTTTTTGGAGGATCATATTAAGTCTATAAATCAATTCTGGAATAATGGACACCATAAAAATATTCAAAATTAGATAATATTTTGTTGAGGAGCTTCATGTCTGTGTTCCTGAGATGTAGTGGTTTGTAGTTTTCTGAGGTAGGCATTTAAATAGAAAGGTGGAAGTATATTTGAGTTCACAATTTACATGGCTAATATAAGATACAGCTCTATTCACTACTTTAGATTTAAAAATAATATACTAGATGCCAGTGTCCTGATTATTTCCAGGAGAGTATATTTTAAATGTTTATTGAAATCTACTTCAAATCTGAAACAGTTTATGTAATATTGCCTCCCACACCCTGTACCTAGCCATGGTCATGATGTCACCGACATACCTTTCTTCTCTCCATATTGTTGTTATTCAAACGATAAATTTCTAAGGTTGGGCACGAATGCTTTGTTGTCCTTTTCTGCACAGTATTTCTTCATTCCTAGTTTTTGCTGAGTTATATCCTAAGTTTGCATTATCACAACTCCACTACTATGCTTTTAGTCAACTTTCCCACAACGAAAGTATTTTCTGCCTATGACAACCCATCCAAAGGAAAAATCATTCTGACAGGAAATATCATGCATTTGCATTTGTAACAAAAATATATTAGCTACTGAAGATAAATTTAATTTCTTTTAGAATCATAGATCAATAGTTTACTCAAAATGAGCATGCAAATAAGTTTCTATTAGTCAAATCAAGACCAGTATTGTTCTGCATGAGTGTTCAGAAAGGAACACATTCTCAGCTTTGAAACTGACATTAATATCTAGGTTTTTAATATAAAAACAAATTCAAATTTTTTAGAGAAATATCCCATTGAAAATTTATCCTTTATCTCTTCTGTATCCTAGCTCAAAGTTTTCATTTTCCACTTCTCCACACATATGTGGCTTCTATAATCCAGCAATTAACTTAATATCTTTGACAAAACTTTAAAATGATGGGAAAAAATCAAAAGAGCAGAGAGGAAAGGAAGAAATAGCTTGTGTACTACTATACAATCATGTGTTTTCTTTTAATTTATAATTTCCTCTTTTGCACACATTCTACTGGGAAAAATGACAAGCTTTTTTTTCTCTAGAAAACAAGTTAAAAAGCAGATATACATAAAAGGAAAAACTTGTACAGAGTAGACTGTGGCTTGAGAACTATTTATGCAGCATCAGAAGACTAAACCAGACTAGCCTGGCCATAAACTAAACCTACGCCCCAAATGAGGTGCCAAGCCACAAAATGCATTTGCGTCATCTGGGAATACAAGGGAAAATAGGACTTCTAATTATAGGGCCTGGAAGCGGAAGCCTAGAGTGATTAGCTGTTTAGGCGCTGTTGTATGTTTATCTGGAAGCTTCCTCTCCCTCACTCTCAGCCTCAAGTTTGATAGATGAGCGTTAGCATTAGAGGGTGGGGACTGGAGCTGCCGATGGTACATGGTGTTCTCCAAAATCTGAGACTAGAGACTGAACATTAAGGCTTTTGCGGCCTTATAAGAACATAAGTCTTTTCAACTGGGCGTCAGCTGGTTAGCCCAAAAGACAAAATTAAAGAGCAGCAAACCTCCACTGGGCATATGCTATAAAATCGTGGAAACATGAGTAGATATGTCTTCTTGCCATATCCTATTTATAACACCTACCTAATTGTATGTTTCTTTATCACATGCACATATATGAAGTGGAAGACAAATTACCAGCTATTCGCACTCTTCCAAAAAGAGACGTGAACACTGATATTCTGGGTCAAATCAAAATCTTTACAGAAATTCCAATTATCACTCATAAAATAATTTTGTTTTGGTATTAATTCTTGTGAATTTAACACATTCTCACCAATACCTGTACAGATTAAAACTTATAAATTATTTAATTATTTTCATCATTATCAGTCAAATTTGTACACATAAAAGCAGAGAATCAGAATCCCACTATTGATAAAAATCTATTAGGTTTGCAAATTACATAAAACCACAATAATATCAGAACCTATTAAAGTCTGTTTTAAAAAAACCTTTAAACCAAATATGAATACCTGAAAGCAATGGTCTCAGTCGCTATGGGCAACATCAATGTTAACTCATTTCTTAACCTGCTTAATGATGGGGATAATCAAACTTTACGTTGTATTCTTCCATATTTGTGGCCCAGGATATATATTAAGACTTTCTTGACTTTATGCTCGATAACACTGTTAAAGGCAATAATGTAAACCCTATCCAATGAACAATGGATATGATTTATTTGATCCTCCCAAAAGTTGCACATATCCAGAACCAAGATTTTTAATTTATTTTTATTGTTGTTCAAGCACAGTTGTCTCAATTTTCTCCCCACCACTCCCCCCACCACCTCCAGCCACCCCCAACTCCCACACTTGACCCTACCCCTCTTTGGCTTTGTCCATTTGTCCTTTATACGTGTTCCTTGATACCCACATCCGTTACAGTAAAAAAACTCTCTGATGTAGCTCTTACTCATGTTTCATGAGGAAAAGTCTAAATTCAACAATTAAGTTTTATTTTTTCTTAATATATTTTGATTATGCTATTACAGTTGTCCCATTTTTTCTCCCCTTTATTCCCCTCTGCCCTGTACCCCCTCCCACCATTATTCCTATCTCCCACCTTAGTTCATGTTCATGGGTCATACATATAAGTTCACTGGCTTCAACATTTCCCATACTATTCCTAACCTACCCCTGTCTATTTTATGTAACTTTTCCCCCATTCTCCCCACTTCCCCTTTCCATTGATAATGTCCCTGCCATCTCTATTTCTGTGAATCTGTTCCTGTTCTAGTTGTTTGCTTAGTTCATTTTTGTTTTTTAATTTTTAGGTTCAGTTGTTGATAATTGTGAGTTTGTTGTCATTTTACTGTTCACACTTTTGATCATCTTTTTCTTAGATAAGTCCCTTTAACATTTCATATAAGACTTCCAGCAAGATGGAGGAATAGGTGGACGCACCGTACCTCCACGCACAACCAAGATTAGAACAACAACAATTTACAGCTAGAATAACACCCAGAACTGATAGAGGATTTATCTGAATGGAAGTCAGACAGCCAAGAAGTTGAAGTAGACCCGTACATCCAGACTGGTAGGAGAGGACGAGCTGGGCGGGCGCAGGTCGGTGGCGCTCGGAGGTCGGGGACAACTTGGCGCAAACTCGGCGCAAGAGCCATCCAGGGCATGCGAGGGAACACAGCAGTGGTCCCTGAGTACGCAAACTGTGGCTGGCGGACCCAGTGAGGCAGCGATTGTGGACCAGGGCAGAGCTCGCAGCCCAGGATCCCAGAGAGGGGACTGAGATCCCAGGAGAACAGAGCTACCGCCATTGTTCCCTCCTGTCCCCACTCCCGCCCCCACATATAACATCACAATCTAGCGACTGGGGTGCCCAGCTCCAGTGAACACCTAAAACTCCACCCCACACTGTAACAAGAGCAACCAGACCAGAAAAAAAAAGGAGAGACAGGGAGAGGCATGTTTCCAACAGAAGAACAGATCAGTCCCCCAGGATTCATCCTTTTGAGTGACTAAGAAATAGCCAATCTATCAGATGCACAGTTCAAAACACTGGTGATCAGAAAGCTGACGGAATTGGTTGATTTTGGTCACAAATTAGATGAAAAGATGCAGGTTACCATAAAAGAGATGAAGGAAGATACACGGAGGAGAGCCAATAGTGAAGGGAAGGAAACTGGGACTCTCTGAGTTTCCTGGAATTCCTGGAAGGCTATTTCTTTTGCCAGATTGGGGAAGTTCTCCTTCATTATTTTTCCAAATAAGTCTTCAATTTCTTGCTCTTCCTCTTCTCCTTCTGGCACCCCTATGATTCAGATGTTGGAACATTTAAAGTTATCCTGGAGGTTCTTAAGCCTCTCCTCATGTTTTTGGATTCTTATTTCTTCATTCTGT